TCTTGACAGTTAACAAGCTGTTTAAAGTAGTAATAATGTTGAAAATTAGATCAAACTGTTTGGTAGATTATGATAAATCTTGACAGTTAACAAGCTGTTTAAAGTAGTAATAATGTTGAAAATTAGATCAAACTGTTTGGTAGATTATGATAAATCTTGACAGTTAACAAGCTGTTTAAAGTAGGTAATAATGTTGAAAATTAGATCAAACTGTTTGGTAGCATATGATAAAACTTGACAGTGAACCAAATTGTTTAAAATAGGTAATAATGTTGAAAATTAGATCAAACTGTTTGGTAGAGTATGATAAAGCTTGATAGTTAACAAGCTGTTTAAAGTAGGTAATAATGTTGAACATTAGATCAAACTGTTTGGTAGAGTATGATAAATCTTGACAGTTAACAAGCTGTTTAAAGTAGGTAATAATGTTGAAAATTAGATCAAACTGTCTGGCAATGTATGATAAATCTTGAGAGTGAACCAAATTGTTTAAAATGAGTAATAATGCTGAACATTAAATCAAATTATTTGGTAGTGTATGATAAAGCTTGACATTCCCAAACTATCTGAAATGGATAATAATGCTCAACGGTTAATCAGCCTATTTGTTAGTTGATCATAAAGCTTAATCAAACTTTATGTAGTGAGTCATACAACTTGATAGTATATTAAACTGTTTGGTAAGGAATTTTAATGTTTGACATTAGATCAAAGTAGTAAACAAACTAAGTATGAATACCAGACTTACTGATCAGTTTAACAGGTATGAATCAAGTAGTCAGTTTCATACTGTAAAAACTATAATATATATATATATATATATGTGTGTGTGTATCACCATCTTTACTCTGAATATACTAGTAGACTATGCATTCACTTCAGTTTTTGTCAGTAAAGTTTCTTACAAATATTTGTATTTTATGTGGTTAACTTCATTATACAACTTTTGGGTTAAGAAAAACGTTTTATTGTGTCTCATCTGGCAATATTACCATTACTCTAGCTATGCATAAAATTCCTTTCTATATTATAGTAATAGTGGTAAAGTGTTTCCTCCAAAGATCTTATTATCATACTCTGTGTGTAGTCTCACCCATTTTGTCAGATGACCAAGATGAAGGACTTATTGCCAGCATTTCAATCTTTTTATTTGTTTATCTTTTAATTATAATAAGTATAATATCTGAAAATAATTTACTAAGAAAATAGTCTAGATAGGTTGATAAGATTATTCAATATTTTTCAAACATCTTCATCTTTGCAATTCACAAGTTTATTTTTTGTTAGTTCTGAATGTTATTTGAGGATGTTAGTGATTAATGTAGCATAGATGCTTGGATTCCAAGTGTTTTGATGCAAATTTTAGTGTTAAGATCTTAATATTTTTTATTCATTACTCCTTATCTTTTTTAATTATGTTACCTGTTGCAGCCTGTATACTTTTCAGTTTTAACTAATTTAACACCACCAGATTTTAATGTCTTGTGTTTTATAGTGAGCATATTACTGGCACTAATGTGAGATAACCAATCAGAAAAATGACAACTTGTGAATCTCATATTGAAACAGGTAGTTTAAGGCAGGATATTAATCTTTAGGGCAACGTGTACACTGTAACTGATAATGCCTTGTTTGATTACAAAGAGATATGTTGATGTACCTTTATGCTCATGTTTAAATCTGTTCTTGTTGATGGTGTTTTCTGTGCCATAAATGTTCCAGGGTTCTTTCTAAAGTAAACATCGAATATTACAAAGTGTGCTTACTTTCAAGGAGGTGTCTGTACAAACATTAAACTTTTATCCAGCTTTCCATGTGATGTCTGTACAAACATTAAACTTTTATGTAGCTTCTCATGTGATGTCTGTACAAACATTAAACTTTTATCTAGCTTCTCATGTGATGTCTGTACAAGGTTTGAATCTTTATCTAGCTTCTCATGTGATGTCTGTACAAACATTAAACTTTTATCTAGCTTCTCATGTGATGTCTGTACAAGGTTTGGATCTTTATCTAGCTTCTCATGTGATGTATGTACAAGGTTTGAATCTTTATCTAGCTTCTCATGTGATGTCTGTACACGGTTTGGATCTTTATCTAGCTTCTCATGTGATGTCTGTACACGGTTTGAATCTTTATCTAGCTTCTCATGTGATGTCTGTACACGGTTTGAATCTTTATCTAGCTTCTCATGTGATGTCTGTACACGGTTTGAATCTTTATCTAGGTTCTCATGTGATGTCTGTACATAGTTTGAATCTTTATCTAGCTTCTCATGTGATGTCTGTACATGGTTTGAACCTTTATCTAGCTTCTCATGTGATGTCTGTACACGGTTTGAATCTTCTCCTTCAAATGTAATCTTAAAGAAAGGTATTAGTAATTAAGTCCATGTGTACACATTGGTTTATTGTCACTGTAAAACTATGTACCACCTTGAAATTAATATAATTTCTATTTCACAAACATTTTCATGTTTAATTAAGGTTTATAGTGAGTAAAGGAAATGTAAGTGAACATTTTTTATCCTCCTCTATTACATATTTACTTAAGTAATTATGTGTACTGAAGAGAAACTCTTTTCAAAAGTCATGAGTTTTGCTCTTTATACAAAGAGATTATCTTGTTTGTTTTTTGAAGTTTATTTCATGAAATTTGGATGTTGTTACTTTGTTTTTCCAACAGAAACTACCTTATTTCAGTGTGTTTTATATGCTAGGCATATTCAAAATAATATTTTTACCCAGTAGCAGTCCTCAGTTCTAAACCTGCTCTAGTGTCCTTATTTATATAAAAACATTTATGCAGTAATATTGACCTCAGATGTGGCAGAGAGTGTAATGAAAACTTATTATAGCACATTCTACTGATATAAACTAAAGAAACTTCTGAAATATATCATTATTTAACTTACAATTGGAAATATTTTGATACACACTGTGTGTGGTAGAATATTCAAAAAACTGTTGGAGGAAAATAACACCTTCTAAACAGTATTCTTGCCACAAACGTATTATACCTAACTTTTGTTGTCAACTTTAGTAAAATGTTAAACTACCTCATATAGCTACAAAATTATTTTTTTCTTCCCCTGTAGATCATGATTTTATGTTATGGTAGCTTCTATACCATATTCTTTTTACAGTACTCAAATATTCTTTACAATATGGCAACAGAGGCTTTTCAATATTGTTGCATAAGTGGTTTATTTTTTATGGAAATATATGACTGATATTAAATATATGATATTAAAGCTCATTGTAGCATTTGGTAGAGCTATAAAAACAAAAAGATTAATTATCTTATTACCAAAGCTAGTGGAAAATTGCTAGCATATTTTATAGTATGTAATATTTATTATGTTGGAAACGTTAGGTATACGTGTAGTGTCACCCAAGCACATGTTATTCATAATTTATCATCACTGTACTCTGGTCTTGCTTGGTTTTTTGAAAAGTCATATGGAACAAATTGTAGAATCACACCTCATATGGTAGTACATTTGTTAATGAGCAATGCTTTCTTTGCACAAGGCCATAAAACATATACTTTTGTTACCAAAAAAACATAAATTCTTAGATGTTAAAATATCCAGTCTTGGAATAAAAGTGAATTTAACTCCCCAGCTAATTATGGAAATCTGTTTGGCAAAATTGTGATTAATGTGTTAATTTTCAAAAATGTATTTCATCAAAATATGTGGATCATAAAGATATTAGTATAACGAAGGTGTGGCTCTGAGGTATTTGTGTTGTGCAGTTTTCATTGGTCTGTTTACATAAAGGATTAAACATTATGAATAACTTGTTGTTGTATTTATTTCATAAGCTTTGAATATTATGATTTGTCATGTTTAAAAGAGAAAGAGTGTCTGAATAATTTGTTAAACTTGTTCCTGTTAGTATGCAGTTTGGCTGTGATTTCAGCTGTTTTATACATTTACATATTACATTTTTTGTAGTTCTACTCCTTGTTTTTCTGTGTTAATAAATATGTTAGATCAACTGAAAATTACTTTCTTCCTTTTTACTGTTTCAAATAGTTTACTTCTGTCATACTGTTGACCCTTAGAACAGATTTTTATACAGTTTTGAAATGAAGACTTCTTTAGTCTGATGGTTCAGTGAACCAAATTTTTAACAAATCATTTAAAAAATTACATTATTCATATTATAAAGGAAAATATGTTTATGTTGTTTAAAAACTCTTGGTATTATAAAGTTATGTTATATAAATCATACAAATCCTATTTAGAGTAGACTCCCTTTCTTTCAGATCAAACTATACTGAATGAGAAATAAATTAATAAATTATAAAATTTAATCTTTCATTAAAATATTTAAGGAAAACTGAAGAATATTTATTTGTAGTTTCAAGTTGGTATTTTTATAAATTTATCTCTAAATTATTCATCAATAATTTTCTGTAGTGGATGAGAAACAAGTTCTTGTGAAAAACTGGAATTCACAAATACAAAAATTGATGCTTTCAAATAACTTTTCACATTAATTATTACTTCATTTATCCTGCCATAAAAACATCTTGTAGGGAAAAATTATTAAACAAATTTGTATAATGGCACCAAATATGCATTGTGTAAAAAACTACACATATAAAATAAAATATATACCACAGGCCATACCTCTTGATCAAGGAATCATATTAAAGTTTAGCAACTAGAATATACTTAAATATGATTTTTCAGACTATATATTACCATAAGAAAGAATACAAGCCTGTAAGCCCTGTACTCTACTAGTATAAAATGTAATATTGTCACATGGTTAGGCAAGCAATTACACAGTTTTGCTGCCACATATTTTTTACACTGTTTAAATAAAAGATGAATTAATTGTATTTACCAAATTTTCAATATTTACATTTCATG